GGCAATCAATGGAAAGACTCCCACTGTTGGCCTCATTAATATGGATCATGCCATACATTTCATTCACAGATTTAAAAATGCAGTGCAAAATGGGGCTAATATCATTTCCCGTTACGTATACGTCTGTGGTAGTATGTCTGTACTTCTATGAGCACACGCATACATTTTCCTCTATAAGTATAGTGTAAAACTGGGAAACACACTGTGTGACAGTTCTGTATCTCTCAGGGACTGGACTAAATAGTTGTAGTGCACCAGGGATTTGACTGCAGAATGGTGATATTTGCCCGTATTTTTTTTTCCTCACCAAGTCTCCATGATATGAGAGTTCCTTGCCTGTGTAGAGATTTACAGGAATTGTCAGGAAGATTTTTTTAAGAGAGCTTGGCGCTGGCACAGGGATCAGAGCAGCATCCTTGTTCAGCATTCAAAAAAACATGGCTGGAGCCATGTATTTTTTGAGTGACTAGGCCCACACATGTTTTCACAAAAGGATTTGACAGGACTTGAATAAAGTTAGGACAGAGAGACCAGCAGATGGAACTGATGCTTGGCAGAAACACAAGGTAGAGCAGTTTGAAAACTTTGAATACAGAGATGCTTTGCTGGAGCTCTGAGCTTGGACTTCTACAAGTACAAACTTTGTTGCTGCCTTTGCTGTTAATCCGTTACTGCCCAAATTAACAAGAGGAATGACGTATGCAATAAATGAGGTCTAGGATCTGTGTCCACATATTTCCTTCCCAAAGAAGATTCTGAACCATGGCAAAGGTTCAGTCACTCAGTAACTTCTTAGAACCTGAACTAGGTGTTTTATCCACAAATGTCCATATATACTGTATCTAACACCATACCCCATTATCCTGTACTTTCTGCATAGTAAACCTATATGATAGGTCTGAGTTTAGGGTGACGACATCATGGAAGGGTGGTAATGTCAGTAACATCCCTATACTGTAAAGGAGCAAGATTCATTTTGTATAGGCCATGCATAGCACAAACAAACCCACTGTTTATATTTTGTAGGATTTAAGAATATAGACTACAGTGATAATGGGTGAAAAGAGACACTGTAACTTTTAAAAAAAGGCCTTCTATGAGTTTCTACATCTGCTAGATACATAAATGTCATAAAGAATCATATATCTTAACTATTACTGGCCCAGAGATCATCATTATTTGTTCTGGCAAGGGAAAGAAAACCTATGGTTATCATGCATATGTAAGACATACACTGGCGCAGTACCTTCGAGTACACAAGTAAGTAAACAAAGTTTTGACAAATCTATGTATGTGTATATTTATATATCATGCAACTAACCACTAGTAAATGAGATAGGAAAAGTACTCTCATTCCTCACTTTCCTTGCTATTTAAAGAGAAATATTTTGTATATTTGATGGCACTGTCAATGATAATTTAAGAGCGCCACTATATTAAGTTTAAGAGCACTGCTTTTGATCTAGACATTTCTCAGTTCACTCAAGTCAATGAGAGTTCTGTATGTGAAAGAACGTCAGCGAGGTAAGATGTTATCCACTGAAACTCAAAAATTAGTTCAGAGAAAATGTAGGTATGCTATAGAGATGACACTAAAGATTAAAAGTGCTGTGTTTTTTATAGACATAATAATTGCAACAAACAGTTTTTGCAAATGTAGGGAGATTGGAAATGCTGAATTGCAGTCATAACATTGCTCTCATTTCTGGTAGTTTCTAAAACAGAAAACACACTTTCTATCACTACAGATCATACAAACTAGGTGCTAAAATAATAGCAGTTTGCTAAATCCCATTTCAGTTTCCAAACAGATAATTTTGGACAGGATATTGGACAAACTGCAGATACCTGAGGTACTCAAATACTAAAGCTGGCCTTTTTTGTTTATAATTACTTAAGCTCCTAGAATGTGATCATCACGTAAGATATACATCTAAATCGATACATGTATTTTCATCACTATGGTATACTATCAACTTTTACAGCAACAGAAGAAGAACACATGTCTTTACAGTGTTTATAACAAGCAGAATTAAGGGAGGATATAAAGTGTCAAAGTTGTTACACAATTTCGTTGTTATGCAGGAAAAACTCCATAAAACACCCCATTTTAAAATCTGTTTCTTATTAGGCAGTTACATAAAAAGAGAATAAAAATACCATATGATTTGCTGATATGCATTTTGTCCAGATCAGATTAGTTTATCTCTTTTCTCTATCCAAATGTAAGTACTTCAAAATGCATAGCAACAGCCCTTTTTTAGTAGGATTTGCAAAACAACTTTAATTTTTGAGAGCACTAGAAAAACTAAGCATCAAACTCTAAGCTCTTAAGTAGTGCATATAATGTTCAAATTAAGAAATCAGTTATTGCCAAAAGCAGTGGTAACAAATGGGGTCTTTCTAACAAAGGCCTGATCCTGCCGTTGGCGATCCCTTCTTGCGCACAATGTTTTCAACGTTTTGAACACAACTTGTGCACACAGGGTCATCCCCTGTAGATCTGTCCTCAAATTTAGATAAAATAAGGGAAGTGCTGAAGTTTCTGTGAACGCTTAAGTCTACTGTTTTTCAAGAAAGCACTTACATGCTGACTAGACCATAAAACACTTGCTTGTGTTAGAAACCTCCAATAAAGCAGAACTAATTTAATATCACCTGTTCCTTAAGTAACATAAACTTTGATCTATAGAAAGAGATACGTGCATACACAGCAAAAGGCCCTGATGAGATCTGTTCTGGGATGCCTTACGTACATGTAGTCACGCATGCGCAAGGAGATGAAAAGCGCAAGAGGAGAGCCATGAGAAGGACTGGGGAATAGAGAGTCTGCCTACTTTTTGTGAGGAGACTGAGAAAACCTGGCTCGGTTAGTCCTACAGAATGAATGCTGAGAGAGGATATGATTGCAGTCTATTAATACATCCTGAGATAAACACCAGGGAGGGAGAAGAGCTATTTCAGTGGAGGACAATGTTGGCAGGAGAACAAATGACTATAAAGTGGCCATGAGTTACACTTATCCCGGAAATTGGAAGATTTCTAATTATGAGAGGACTGAGGTTCTGGAGCAGCTTCCTACACCAGCAGTAGCGAGGGCAAAATACTGAAACGCTTCCCAACTAAAACTTGATCAGTTTACGAAAGGGACTGTGTGATATGGCTGCCTGTAACTGTAGAAGACCGCGTGCAGTGAGCAAGCAGATGCCTCCCCGTCCTGCGTTCCTTCACTCATTACTTACTCGCTCATAGGCCAGCCACAGAGTACGCTCTGTAGGAAGTCTTTTTCCTGGTTCACAGAGCAATTGAAGACGTTACTAGTGAAATCTTAAAAAAATTACATAGGATGTGCAGTTTAAGTAAATTAATCTTCCTACAGGAACCTTAATTTGTTCGCATCTCCTGGATTTCTGTGGGTACGTCTTAAATTTTCATTAACTGTTCTTCAATCTCTAGTGCCTCAAACTGTAAAAATACCTATGAAATAAATAATGCATTTCTGCTCCAACTCTGACACATTCACTTGGGACCGTGTGTGCGAGCTGCATCTTGCACATTTTGATTGTCAAGGGACCTGTTGCATTCATTTGATTCCTTGCACAGCACGGCGCAGCCATCTCCCACAGTTCAGCACTCTATTTCTTTCTGCTGCATATTTAGTAGTTGTAGTTCTAATCCCCTTGTTAAGTAACGTATGCTATTACATGGTCCTATCTCTACATTTTGCTGTAATATGCAAAACTAAGTACATTAAATGCAGGAGTATACAAACCGGAGTATTTTTGATCTCCTAGCAAGGAAAATTTCATATTTTTTTCCTAAAGAAAACTGCCTTACTCAATGTATATTGAAATAATATGAAATATTTTCAAGTGCCACACCCAAGACTGCAACTGTACTTTAATTCCACAGTTTTCGTCAGAATTAATGAAAGATACACAGCTAAAGTCCATGAAGAAAACAGTTTAGTCTATGCATAACAGCAGGAGGAATACACTCAGCTAAAGCTCCTCCGACATTAGACTTGATTTCATGCTGACCCTGCTCAGCCGGCAGATGCTTTTCCGTCTGTGTTTTGGCTTATATATGACTGACATCCTCAACGGTGAATTAACTGTAGTTAATTCTATGCAGATTAATTCTGCTGAAAGTCACACATTAGGAGGGTAGGAGGTTAAAGCCATAGTGAAGTGGATGCCAGTAATGTCCACATCTGTATTTCTAGAGTATTGGCAGCACTTTAATTTCCTTGGGACTCTACATAGAATAGTGTTGGAGTTGTGAAAGTTTAAGCCAGCAACGTGCCTGCATCCAGCTGAAATTTGAGAGGATGGAGAAACCTCGCACACTGTGGCTTGGAGCCTCAGAAAAAAAAAGAAATTGCAGATTGGTGAGTGTTTTTAGTGCACACTGGTTTATACCTCTTTCCTAAGGAAATAAATATCGCCAGTTTTGCCACTACAAAAAAGTTCTGGGAGTCCAAGACCGCCACATTTGCCAAGTATAGCAAACCTCTTCTATGAGGTGGAAGACATTTTGCACCAGATATACTTGGAGCTTGTGTCACTGCAACACTGATTCAAAGTCCTCATCCAGTGTAACAATTTCTTCTCCTCTAGCATATGTAACTTGTTATATTTTTATTAAGTGCCATTGCCAAACTGACTATACAGTGTGCTGCTTGAAAATGTATTTTACACAATCTCTGTGATAGAAAATTACATAGTAGCCATTTTTAAAGTTTCTAAAATCTACTTATCATGTGCCTACATGAATATCTTTTGTAAATCTTATTAGGCAAATGAAATAGCATATTTTTTCCATCAGCATTGTGATAAAGAATATATTAAAAGAACACATGGCTAGCTTGGCACTTTGTCAAGATATTTCTTCAGTGCCGCTCACTCTGAAGAACTATTTTCGTCAAATTCTGTGTTACTAAATCAAGGAATGGTGAAAATTTTCATGAGGATTTTTCCAGAATATTGTATATTCCTTACCTGTGGGCAGTCTTTAATGTAGTGTCCCTTGTTAAAGCAGAGGTGGCACAGGTAGTTAGGAGGTGGCCTCTTGCTGGGTTTTCTGGCTTCTGAAGAAAGGGATAGGTCAGAGAAATGCTCGGTGAGGGAGCTTAACCCATCCACAATGTTATTGAGAGAGCCATAAGGCGATGCGCTCTTGTACAGACTGCTGCTCAGAGCCTGCAAAAGAAAAGAAAAAAGTCACATGAAACATCGTACTGTATTAATGATTATTCTGAGGTTGACCTGAGTAGGGGAAGTATAAAAATAGCAGAAAAAAATGTGAATTTTTTTTCATTAAGAACATGGCTGCATATTTGAGGAGAGCAATATACAGGTCTTATTAATAAAGAGACTTCTTGAAGGCAGTGCAATGGAGCTGCTCACCCCACTGCTGAGGAAACTATTGAGCTTGCCACGGTTCACTTAGCCCAACCTTTCCACTAAGCAACGATTGCTTTCTTGTGTTTGATCATACCACTGTCGTGGTATGGTTAGAATATGCAGGCAAAAAGCTGGAAGAACAACCCACAAAAGGGAGCGCTTTTGTGTCCAGAACTACTCACGCAAACCATACTAAAGTCAGGGAAAGGAAAAGAACACCAAGAAAAATGTAAAGTCATTTTTAATTTCCAGTCTGGTTAATGAGACAGCCCCGTGTTCAAACAATAAGAAGAAACATGCAGATCTCTCTCTGTCTTGGATTTTCTAAGGGGAAACCTGCTGTGATTTAAACATTTCCTGATAAACAGTAAACACCTAGTTTTTGTACTTCACCTCAACAGGATCTTCACTCTCTCAATCTGCAAATCAAAATCAGGAGCTCCTAATTTGCCATTCTGTAGCTTTAGAACAGCAGGAAACCCATAATCACCTAAACAGCTAATCTCCCTAATGGAGATAACAAGGATTCATTCACTTTAACATGTTAAGGCTCAAAAGAAACTCTGTAGTAGGAGTTTAAAAAGTAAATAATAACTTTAAAGAAAAAAATTAATATGGTAATGAGTTACTGTAGAAACAAGACCAATTATTGACAGTCCTCTCCACCCTGAAATGATGGGACGCATTTCACAGGGTGTTTCTATGTTAGGTCTGATACACCTCGCAATACCGCGATGCTCATGTCATAGTGGGCATGGTGGTGTTGGGTTGACGGTTGGACTCGATGATCTTAGAGGTCTTTTCCAACCTCTATGATTCTATGATTCTATGATTCTCCTGCCATCAGAGAATTACTTCTGGCTTATGGGAAAGTGAGGTAAGAAGAGGTCCAACCTGTGCCTCTGCGGAGACCTGGGTTTTCAGTGCTATTAAATCCAAACATTTCAATGGAGTCTTTATATATGTCATATATGTTTTCATATGTTTATGTATGTTATATACATATTGGAGACATGCATTGAAATTGATTTAGAGAGTTTGTGAAATAAATCTGAAATGGAATTACATTTATCTCGGAGATCTCAAACATTCAGGATGTCTGCACAGCGAGTGTGTTTTCTGGGCAACAGTCACATACCGGAAGAATCATATGGAAGCTCTAGGCACAATTACCTGGGTGAGTCCCAACTATCACTGAATCCCATCCCACTGCAGATGGTGTATACTGTAAAGAAAAATTCAGCCTAAGTGGCAGGCCATCGCCATACAGATAATCCGCTTCACCCACCCTCACTATAGTCAAACACAACGTGCTGAGCTCCACTGACCCCTCTTGCAAAGCCGAAGCCGGTGCACGGCAGCAGGATCAATTCAAAGGGCCACAGAGTAGAGTCTGATCTCACGGGGGACTTCACACATCTCCTGGCACTGAAACGCCCGTCGTTTTACCCCCAGCACAGCATAGTTCTGTGCTGGTGCAAGACGTTCTGGCTGCCGAGAGGAGAATCGGTCACTTTGTTTCAGGGGTTAAACCCACACATTTTAAAAGGAAAAGCTATTTCAAGAACTAATGAAAATGTTTTAGCTGCTTTAGCCATCAAGCAACCAAAGATACCTCCAACGGTCACTGGAATTTATTTTCTAGGATTTATTGGACACTATTGGAATGAGAAATTCTTGGCATCAAATTGTTAAAAGGAAGGGGAAGTGCTATGGATGCCAAAATAGTGTTAATTAAGGGTCTTCAAGAAGTTCTTGTTTCCCTAGGAGCCACTTTCTCTTACATACACTTGGAATAATACAAAATCTTTCTTTTTAAGAGCCCCTCTTGCCAAGAGATTCTTAAAGTACTTCACATGCATTACACCCATCAGTAACTTTGCAAATTCCCTGTTATCTGATTTTTATAGAAGGGTGGGTGTATGGACACACAGAATGTGTGAAATCCCAAATTCTTTACCCATTGCCGAAATCTGGAACATCCCCTGGGGATGTAGAATACATAACTCCTGCCCATCAGGAGGCTGCTATTTCTGCCCCTGGGGCCAACCCAGTAACAAAACAAAACATAACCTATCTGCTGCCTTCGGTAGGCTTTGAGCCGGACATATGGCTCACAGTGGTGACTATTTTCTCTTCTACGTATCCTTTACACTGAGCCATTACCCCCATTATAAGGGAGCAATTTGGCACCACGACTGGATATGATGTAATTCACTCCTCCACCCACCCTTCTTGGCACGTTTCAGCTCAATACGGAAACGTAAGAGTTGCAACGACCACAGTTTTGCCCACTCTGTCAGCAAACCTTTACAAACTTTAGTTTGTTTCAGCCAGAAGCCTTGTCAAAGGCCAGGATCCCATCAGACTACAGGCTGTACTGACACTAAATCATCATCTTAGCAGCCACCAACGGCTCTGTGGCCGAAGCGTGACACATGGCTCTGGAAGTGGCCACCTGGTTCAGCTGGCAGGGCACTTGTGCGATACGTGCCAAAGTTGGACATGCCAAAACATCCAGCCTACACACGCCACCATGAAACACCTCTCTGTAATCGTCTTGAGGCCCAGTGTTAAAAAAGGGAAAAGGCACAAATATAACAACCCAGAAGATGACAGTAAGGGAGAAGACAGACATTGCCGACATTACTGGTGCTTCAAAGAACAATGAATTCGTTAAGGAAAATTCCTAGATGATCCCAAGCTGCAGCCCATCCCTCCTGGTATAGAGTCAGGCAAACCGCTTCAACAGTTCCTGCCGATCTGACCTGGAAAATGGTCTTAAATCAGTTTAACTCTGAGTCAATGTGAAAAACACATCAATCTGGCACTTGAAAGATGCTATAAAGAGCACCAGCACAAACAGTGCTACATCCTGTTGCTAGCTGTGGAAATCTCCAGTTCTTCAGAAGATGAGGAAAAAAAGCCATTCCAAAAAGCCAAGTTATATAATAAGGGTGGTGGTGGGAAAGTTCATCCTGGCCCCTGGAATGAAATAGTGAAAGCCCAGGAACATGTAATGAATGCGATGAAAGCAAATGGTGATTTAGTCCACTTTGTAGAAGACAAGGAGTGAATGAATATTGCTGAGATACATAAAACAGGGCTTTTTTTTTTTTGTCTGGGGCACTTAATTGAGCAAATCAGCAATTCAACCCTTACTAAGTGTTTGCCCTGCTGCAAAGGGGATTTTTAAGACGGGTTTTGAACAAAAACTTCGAATTAGCTTCACGCTCAAAGGGGATGTCCAGGGGATGATCAGAGTGACAGGGAGAATGTTGATGCTCTCAGACAGACGACAGTAGAAAGGAAAATAGAGAGGAAGAGGGAAATGCATCCTGACTCATTCTGGTCTCCAGTGTATTGGTACGCATCTGGGAGGTGGCAGGGAGACTGCTCCTCTGATGAATTCCACCAAAAGCAATGACTGCTTTGCGTTCACAGTGTGCCACTAGTAAAGCCAACCTATTTCTTTAAAAAGCAGACAACAAATAATACCTCTCAAATGGAGCCTCATTTTGAGCTATAACAGGATAGAAAGGATTTGGCAGTGAAAGGGTTAGCGCTCTCAAGAAGCCAAAAGACCACACTGCATGTCCTAATTACAAGGCTCATCAGGCCAGCTGCAAGGAATACAGGATTTCCTTATCTTGCTGTACTGGGAGTATGGGGGACCTGGTGCTAAAACTTAGAAATTGGCTTGGTGGGAAGTTTGAGCTGATAATGTAAGTTTGTTTGTTTGGTTGGTTTTTTTCCCTATGAAACTTGTTGACTTAGTTGAATGTGAACCAAACTGAAAATCTGGAGTTGTACTTTCCATGGGTAATCTCTCTGCTTAGTAGATCTTTGAACTGCATCTGTTGGTGGTGTTGGGAAGTAAGGCTTCCTTTGTTATTTGTTTGCTAAGTGTTTCCAGTTAAAGGGCACATAATCCGTAAGGTTGCAGTGTGGTCCTTTGTGAAAGAGGCAGCTATTGTCTTCTATAGCTTCCTTACTCTGATTTCCAGTTGGGTAACATATGTCAGTGACTCAAGAGTTCCAGTATCTAACTCACCTCTAAGAAATTCCTAGTTAAGTGAATGATCTGGCAAATGCTCTTGATTCCCTTGGCTGGTCCCTGCCTTTCAGAGACAGCTTTTGGGATTCATGTGCCAAGAGGTGGATAAGGAAACACTGAAACAGAATTTCTCTCCTCAGCTTCTTTTTTAGCAATGGGATAATGTTCAAAATAAAGACAATGGTACTGTCAGGAATGTGCAGTGAATCATTTGAACAAATAGGTGGCAAGTCTTAATTTCCAAATTTCCCACTGGTATAGCTACTGCTTTAGCTGTAAAGGTATTTTTTAATGGGGAGCAGAAAGCACAGATAGCATGATAGCATCTCAATTATGACTACAATTAATTCTGCCCGAAGGTGATAGGATTACCTATCTTCCAGAACAGCTGATATTAATAAGCGATGGCAACCTGTTTATGTGGGAATGGCACCTTGTTACTAGGACTTACAGGAGTTACGCAAAGCTTTTAGGCATGGGACTGGAAATGTAGAGGCGTATCTGGAAAACTCAGTTTCTGCCCTAAGTTCAGTTTGTGGCTGCTGGACCCTTAAGGCAGTGATAAAGGGGTACAGATCCACCAGTTACCTGAAGCTAGAATGACCTGTGCTGGTTGAAGTGGTTGATAGGCTGTATCTGGCCAGTAGATTTGTTTGGTGCTCTTGGGGTTGTTTGGGTTTGGTTTTTTTTAATTTAAAAACTATGCTTTGAAAAACTACTGCCCCCCCCCCCCAAAAAAAAAAAAAAAAAAAAAAAAAAAAAAAAAAAAAAAAATACCCCTACACAATATCTCACCAGTTAAAATAGAGGAGAGAAAGAAATATTGAAACCATCCATATGAGCATGAAGAAAATGCAACTTCTTGCCCTCTTTGAAGTCACCTGCTGTTTAAGTGTAATAGCTAAAACTGGATGGGAGAAGCCATATAATGCTCCCAAACTGTTGGATTCTGTGCATAGTATCCCTCGTCACAGATGTCCTTCTTTGTTCCTGCTAGTTAAGGGATCTAACATTGAAGTTGGCAGAGGTGACTACTCCACCTTAGCAGACTAATTGCCTTTGGATGTGGCATCATTATTGTGACTATTCCACCTGAAATCCAGTGGGTTAACATTAAAAAAAGCAAAGACAAACAAACAAACAAAACCCCACAACAGTCCAATACTAAAAAATTCTTCCCTGTTTACAGCTGTTTGAAAGTATCTCTAAAGGACTTGTGAAAGAACCTGCTCAAGCTGTAAGTTAGTATGATTTGTGCTAGTGGTTCTCTCCACGTTTGTTTTAATTGCACATACTGAAGTGAGGTCCTGTAGCATTTCCATATTCCTATAACACAGTCCAGTCATCAGTTCTTCCACTACATGAAATAGTCTGTAATTGAAAAGCGATGAGCAAAGAATTTTTGATGACTTATTTTTGCTTTAGTATGTTGCCAACCTAATAAAGCAAA